TCATCAAGAGAACGACCAAACGTGAGTGATAAGATGAGAAGAGTATATTTGTCCAATACATTAACGATATTGAGAGTGAAGTTAATGGGAAGTGTACATATATATTTATCGTATGCGACAAAGTTGAATATGATACAGAATTAAAACAAAGCTTTCAAGAAAAACAAATAACTCAAAATATATTATCTCGAAAATACCGTACGTTGTGACCTCTGTATGGGGTCATTGTCTCGAATGTCTCCAGAAATCTGATAAGATTGTTCGATTATGAATACACAAAGTCGATTCTGACAACCCGTCAGAGAAATTGATTTGGCTTTATACAGACAACCGAACTCGATCATATGTTTTCATTAAATATATCTCTGAGATATGCATTGATTTAGACAGCCAATAATACAAAGAGATGATAAAGACAATGGTTTTACACAGATAATGATAGGTAATCCACTTATCACACAGATTGTGGACTGTTGTACGCCTTTCATGCCATGCAAATCAGATCACGTTTGTCTTGGTTTCATAGGCATACAAAAATACAACACTAACGGACCCCGAGGACATTTTGTAAAGGACCTCGGGGTATAAACTCATGTTTTTAGTTGTATATAAAACCCAGACAACTGTGATTAGAGTGCACACATGCGTCTGTGAGGTGTACTTGTTTTATGCAAACGCAATGACAATCTCAGCGCAATGGAAGTCCTCCGATTTCTGATGTTTAGTTAAAGAATCCACACATCTTTGAAGTGGCGTCTCCGTTTTGTCTACTGGTTCATGTGGTCTCACTTAATGTGTTTGTATGTCTCGTTGTTTTTCGGTGTGACTCCACCTTACACTCCTTTGGCTGTCATTCAAATTGCGGAGTAAAAATGTGAACATTTTTTCTGATCTCTGCTTGAATTACGTAGTTGTATTCTCTTAAGTTGAAGACGGATGAGAAATTGAGAAAAAACACTGTAAATGTCTCGCCTTTATGATAAATGACGCTAATTTTAAGCTTGCAATCACGTCATATCCGTTTATTCAAGACATGTCAATTTCAGAGCATGACATTTACAACAATTGATAAAAACAGGACAAAGACCTGTAGGTATACAGCAATTAAAACATAAAATGTTAAAAATAAAATGTTTTTTGAAACTTTGAAAATAACTTTGCTTACATTCTGGTTCTTTATGGTGAAACAGAAGCTAAGTTTATAGATAGACAGTGTTGGTAATCTACTTCACTAATCCTTACACGACGCTACAAGGTATTCGATAATTGACTAAGCATAGCTGCCCAGACAATCAAACCCTTCTCAATATCTATGCTGTCTGTTTTGGTGATTATGACGTCATTTGATAACAGTAATTGGTTCAATAATTTATTAACTGCTAGCAGTCGTTACATTAATATGTCTGAAAGGATACCGACTGTCTAATTACTAATGTTCTTGTAGGCTAATTTCACACACACATTTCTCTCACGAGCTTCTTTCGGAACACCAATTTCTTCCTGAGGAGTAGTCGCTAATTGTCACACGGAACGAAGCCTCCCATTAACTCAAATTCATTGACCACACTTCAGTATGACAGCCTGAACCATTCAAAGATTGATTGTGACACTGACCTCAGGGAATGAAGATGTAACCAGCAACGAACCGGTTACAAACTAAGAGTTTCCGAGACCTCTTAATCCCGGCACCGACTAATCTTAAAAGAGAAGTAACCAGTTACATTTAAGTACGAGCTTATAAAAAACTCTCGTTTTTAAAGTATTGTCAGCTTAAAGAAATACTTACAGCTGTTTCCTTTAAACTCACATTGGTTTTTTCTTTATGTTCTTATTGTCATACACCAGGGTATACTGAAGTGTAAAGAAATAGTAAATCGAGGTCAAAATCTTTGAAATCTGGAGATGGTATTCATATATCATAATGAAATAGAATAATTTCCCAATGGGATCATGATATTGACCATAAAACTTCCTCATATTCGACCCATCAGACATAACAATTATGTTTATCACTTTGGTATCGTTTTGAATTACATAGTTTCATTTTCAATCAAAATTCTTTCAAAGATGCCTTTATTTTTTATGTGAATTTTCACACTTTAGTTCTTAAAAAAGGAGATCTTAATTTTAGGTTTTTGCATTTTGGCTCTGAAAACTATACGCAGGATAGTTTTTCATTAAAACTGTTGCTACAAACTATATATTATTCTATATGTGGATGCAAAGTTTGGTGCTAATTTAATAAATATGAATTAGAAAGTTACAAAAGTTTAAATGTACATCAAATATACCATCTGATAAAAGCATTTGACGACCTGTCGCTAATCTTTTAAAGCTTTTAATACTAAGGCCAGCTGTAACATATCAAATTCAATAAATTTGTTTCTTGCCTATTTGCAACGAACAATATTTGAAACCAGAGATTCTAATGCAATTACGTTTTCTTCGTTTATTTAATATTAATGAAGGCTACCTTAGATTGTTGGTATCATACATATTTTTGTTGATTTTGACCAATGGCGTAATAACGCGTGGCAAATATGATGCAGGGCAAGCTAACCTACCCTTCCATAATAAATGGCGTCTTTCCATTTGGTTGATGATCCTTAAGTGTCTGTTATTCTATTTTTCTATCATCGTTTTGTAAATATTTTTAACGCTTTGTTTTAATCTCAATGCACTTTTTAAGGGTTTCAGTGTAAATTATCATGTTGTGTTTGTTTTCGCTATAGTTTCATCTCCTTTGAGTTCTGTTTAAGGCTGTTGTTAACACTTCGGTTCTCTCTTGTTCATTTTGTCCCATGTATTGACAATCAAAACTGAAAAAGTGACAGATTTCAAAATCTTTGAAATAATTTAATAAAAAAAAAATCATTTCTAACGGGTCGAGCAAATTTTGAATTTGAAGTCATTAAGTTAAGGAGATGGGACAGAGTACGATGTCCGAAGATTCAAAGTTATAACAATGAATTTGAACACATTATTTCGGTGCATCGGATTCCATACCTAGGGTAAGAAAGGTAAATGGTCTTTTTCGTTTAGTTCTGGAATCTTTTTTTTCATTTATGCCTCTCTGTTTTTAATGTCCTTTTAGTATTTTGACGCTTTGGTCATTTCCTGTTTATAACTTTAAAAATAACTACCTGATTGTGTAGGTGCGAAACATTTGACAACTTTTGAACCAGGAAGTGCTGAGTATATCTTATAGTGTCTGTTTGAACTGTTTTGGAACTCCGAGCAGGCACAGGCTTAAGAAAACATTTTAGTCATTGGTGAATACATGTACTTCCTTATAGTTTCTAATTAAATGTATAAATAAGCAGTGTAATTAAAAAAAACGGCTGGTGCAGTTTTCTGAAAAATATTGCCCGCGTTGACCATACTTTGGGCGACTGGACCAATAGTCCAGTGATAAACATTCCATACATCTTTAGTGATGGAACCATGCACTATACCTGTAACGACCTATTTTCGAGCCCAGACATCCCAGTGTAATCACATTCGCTTGGCATCGTGTCTGATGATCTGGGAGTGACGAAGCTTTCCTAATTTGCCATCAACGACACATGTCGTCTCACTCTGAGTGTTTATACCTCAGTCAGGAAAGAAAATGGCATCACATGTTATTATGGTGTAAACAGGACGGTTTACATCGGTAAAAAAGTCACGCTTCAAACATTTTGTCATAAATGGGAAGTTTTCATGTTGTGTGCACCACTTAGACGAGTAAGTACATGTATACAAGTGTACATTAACAGATTGGGTGCCGGATGCAGCAGCCATCACCCGCCTGCCATGCTAAAAATGTGCATAGTTGTATTAGTCACCTCCCGTGGTGACGTCACATCAGCCAGACAAACGTCGCTTACGTCAAAGCGTGTCGGATGTATGATATGCTTATGTTTTTAGGTATTACGTATGTCCATGATTGATGTATATCGGATCCAGTGTTGTACTGACAAATGACCTCTAGATGCGAGGGTTCTTCGCCTTTATTAAAATATAGAGACTTTCTCTGGCTATTTATATTTAACTACAAGAAGTATGTGTCTTTCACAAAACAGTGCACATAATTTTATAACGCATTTTAGATAACGAAGTAATCTCTATTAAAGTTATTGCAAGTTAGGTAATTCAAGAAAAATAACTTTTTAAAAGAAATCGCCACGAAAACTGATTTTATTTGGTTATCCGTATGGCGATATCATTCCGACCTGACATTAGCTAAGGTAATTAAACAATTCGTTTTCCATTACTTAACACATTCTCAGATAGTTGTTTACCGTACAACAAGACGTTTTAATGTACATAAACAATTCAACTGTACGTCATATTCAATTCACATGTGTTACAGAAAATTATAATTCCGTCTATAATTAAACACATCTATGTAAAAGGATAACTCCTTTCTACCTGGGAAACAATACTAGTTGTTTCTTATACAGAGTGAGATTTTCCCATAGCAACGTGTAAGTTGATTGCATTAGAGGTCTGGCTATATTAAGATTAGTTGCATCGTCATTATTTTATCATTTTTTTTATCAAAGAGATGCACTTTATGAACTATGGTTGTATTTTAGAAATAATTCGTCATAATCTGTTTATAACATTTACAATTAATGTATATGGCGATTTGCTGAAGAACGATGCGTCAAGACAAACATTCTAAGTACCATGTTGTGTCTATGTTCAAACTCTATTAGACAAATAACGTTTTATTGCCGGCGTATCCCGTCATAGTTTACCGAATAAGCCCTGAGTTTGGTTCTCTGTTGATGTTTCAGAAGCCCAAATCCTTTAAAGTTTGCATGTTAAGTCTCATGTTTGGTTCCTAGGCGAGATTACAAACCGATGACGGTGTCCTGTTATCCGTCTCCGTATGAGAGTCAATAGGTTCGCGCGGACACGCTACTACGACAATGTAGAGGCAGAGCGAGCGTTCGTATAGTGCCTCTGACAACCCTTCTGTCTCCCACATAGCATCACTCGGTCGCATTAACACAGGCCGATCATGATATAAAACCAATAACTGTCCACCAGATAACGATTCACGTGTCAAAACACTGTCTTGTACATCTATATATCGAACACTATCAAAAGATACATTTTCATATCAATTTCTTCTTTAATTGGTTTACAGATGAACCCTTGCAATGACCACACCGGAGCTGCTATGATACGGACGTGCAACAACTTGTGAGTGTTCACGCGAGTCAGGACACAGAGTGATACGGAGTATAAGCTTGTGTGGTGAATTGCTATGCAGGAGTTCTAGGAAAGGGGGGAAACCCAAATCGTGTATTGGAGGATAGGTGACCTGTACTGTGCGAGAAGAATTCGTGGAGGAGTCCCACAGGCTTATAGCCGGGTGCTGACGCTCGGGCCGTTCAGCTGGCACTGGAACACTATCACAACAGGACACTGCATCTTGCATAAACAAACGTAGCATGGGGACCTCCGAGATTTTAAGTGGACCTTTGTGTAAATTGAGAAGAAGGGACGTTACAAATTTTATTATTACTATCTTTAGGATTTTCCTTGTTTTAAATACATTGACAGGACTGACCTATTCGCGACATACGTGGGAAAGGCCCGGCTGTTATAAAGTAGGTGAGTACTGCCAACTTTGTTTAAATACATTTGCCGTGGGAATGTTTTCCATTCAACATCTTTTATGGATTTGTGTGAGCAGAGAACAATGTAAGTTTAGTTATGTTATCTGAGGTTGATCATGCAAGCTTAACTTTTACTGTTAACAAGGTGAAGGTATGGTGGTGTATTTGTCGTTATTGAAGTTCTCCTCCGTACCTAAAGCAACATTTTAGGACATGTACAAGAGTAGGTTATATTTTGTTTTATACTACTTTTGTTTTTCTAGTCTACTTGCAAATATTCCCCGTGGCTGAATCTAACATGCTATCCTTATAGTAAACAATGCAGTTTTTTTGTAAGAGACAAATGTAAAAACTTTGATAAAGTGTATTTTGTAAAAGATGTTTAAGGTAAGTATTTTGAACACTTTGTCAAAACACATTGTCTGTTTGGGAGTAAACATGTCTTTAGCTGACACATACGATTTGATACAGTCTGAAGTGTCTTGCTGCAATACGGAAATACAGGGACAAAAAGTTGATATGATATCGTATGCACGGTCAATCAACTCAGTATGGACATAGAATGTGCATGACCACGCAGTAGATATGACATAGTATTAACGGCCATCAACACGTTAGTTTCTGCAGGGCCACACAGTAAATATGACATAGTATTAACGGCCATCAACATGTTAGTTTCTTGCAGGTGCACACAGTAGATAAGACATAGTAATAACGGCCATCAACACGTTAGTTTCTGCAGGGCCACACAGTAAATATGAAACAGTATTAACGGCCATCAACATTTTAGTTTCTTGCAGGTGCACACAGTAGATAAGACATAGTACTAACGGCCCATCAACATGTTAGTTTCTGGCAGGGCCACACAGTAGATATGACATAATATTAACGGCCTTCAACACGTTAGTTTCTTGCAGGACCACACAGTAAATATGACATAGTATTAACGGCCAGCAACACGTTAGTTTCTTGCAGGGGCACACAGTAGATAAGACATAGTACTAACGGCCCATCAACATGTTAGTTTCTTGCAGGGCCACACGGGAGATATGACATAGTATTAACGGCCAGCAACACGTTAGTTTCTGCAGGGCCACACAGTAAATATGGCATAGTATTAACGGCCATCAACACGGTAGTTTCTTGCAGGGCCACACGGTAGATATGACATAGTATTAAGGGCCATCAACACGTTAGTTTCTTGCATGGCCACACGGTAGATATGACATAGTATTAACGGCCAGCAACACGTTAGTTTCTTGCAGCCCCACACGGTAGATATGACATAGTATTAACGGCCAGCAACACGTTAGTTTCTTGCAGGACCACACAGTAAATATGACATAGTATTAACGGCCAGCAACACGTTAGTTTCTTGCAGGGGCACACAGTAGATAAGACATAGTACTAACGGCCCATCAACATGTTAGTTTCTTGCAGGGGCACACAGTAGATAAGACATAGTACTAACGGCCCATCAACATGTTAGTTTCTTGCCGGTGCACACAGTAGATAAGACATAGTACTAACGGCCCATCAACATGTTAGTTTCTGGCAGGGCCACACAGTAGATATGACATAATATTAACGGCCTTCAACACGTTAGTTTCTTGCAGGGGCACACAGTAGATAAGACATAGTACTAACGGCCATCAACACGTTAGTTTCTTGCAGGGCCACACGGTAGATATGACATAGTATTAACGGCCATCAACACGGTAGTTTCTTGCAGGGCCACACAGTAGATATGACATAGTATTAACGGCCAGCAACACGTTAGTTTCTTGCAGGGGCACACAGTAGATAAGACATAGTACTAACGGCCCATCAACACGTTAGTTTCTTGCAGGGTCACACGGTAGATATGATATAGTATTAACGGGCATCAACACGTTAGTTTCTTGCAGGGCCACACGATAGATGCAATATAAGGTAATACAGGACACTACGATGGATGAAGTGTCTTATTATCGGCCGAACAACACAATAAGGCTACAAAGGGCAACAAGGTAGATATTAAGTCGTATTAACGGTCAGTCAATCAAAGATGATCTTACAGACCTTACGACATATATGATATGGTATTAACAGCTAAAAACACAATATGATCATGCAGGATCACACGGTAGAAATGGCCTCATCAACACAATAAGCTTACACACGGCTAACGATAGAGCGGCCAATAACAGCAGAAGAAGTTCATACTGAACCACACAGTAGATATATGATAACTGTTTAATGACCAATCTCCACACGGACAGATCGGGCCACACGGTATAAATTAAGAGAATTATTCCCAACAACACGATAAGGTCGAACGGAGTCACACTGTAACAACACAATATGGTTATACAGGACTATACGTTAGATGCGATATAATATTATTATCCCAACAACACAATGAAAGTCATACAGGACCATACGGTAGTGTGATATAATATTTACTATAAACAAATCCTAAACCGTTTGTGTAATAATAGACAGGGAGGTGTAAAGGTTAAAGGGAAACAATATAACCGAAGAAATCAAGGTCTCAACTTGAAACAGCCTATATTTTTCTCATCTATACCCTTAGCTAACGACACAGTTGAACATTCCGGATTCCGCGGGGCTTCCATTTTAGTCACCTATTTTGATTATACATTTGGTACAGCAAATCGGTTTTCCTCGATACCCGTACAGATATTGCTTGAATAAAGTTCATACATAACATCCTCTCGTTAATATAATTTGTCCAGTATTTAACGTACTTATAGATGAACTACCAAGTATTGAATTATTATGACAGGTTACGTAATGATAACTTGTTGGCATTTTATTTGCTCGTGCATTTCAGGATTAGGACAGTATACACAAAAACTTTATACAATCTAAGCATTTTTTTTTTTCAAGAAGCTTATTGAAAAAACGTGTATGCATTTATATTAATACAAAAACGTGATATTCGCGTCACGTGACGTCATTATCACGTGACGTCACCTTGATATGCCATGTCTGTTCGTTGTAACGAAATCATGCACCTGATTGATGCAGTCATAATGTCTTTTATCTGAATATCATAATGCACACCTTCCTTTTTTGCTCTCGCTTCAATCGAATCTGAACATGCATGAATGGTTTCCATTTTGCAGTCGACACTGTAATCGATATCTAGACTTTACAGCTACAGATTCTAAGTGATTTCACTTGGATGCTTGCGATAGATCCCAGAGTACACTGCAAAACAATTTTATTACGAGTTGCTGTAAATCAAAACTAAGACTTTAACGTTAGACTTCTGGAATCCACAGTAAAGCTATTAAAACTGTTAAAGAGATGAAGACAAAACTGAACTTACTCCAGGAAGACCTAACATGTTTACGTGTTTTGATTTAAATCAAGCGGCAAACATGTCCATTACAGCGAGAGAACACCTCCTACGCCTCGTTTATACTAAGCGAATCAGTCACTGTAATGCTTGCTCGTTTTCGTATGTGGCATCTGCTTCGTCTTCGTCTAATTTTCTTTTAAGTTTCTCACAAAGGATGCAATGTGGAACCATGACTTGATTACTTTAAAACTTCAAACGTTTTTTCCTCTGCTAAGGTTGACATGCAAGGTATGTTTCGGAAATAAAGATTGAATAGCGATTGGTATCAGAGGGGAAATACTTTTTTTGTGGTTTTCCTTAAGTCAGGGGACAAAAAACACAAATTCCTCCTAAAAGGGCAATACTTGTTTCATTGCGACCTCCAAAATGTACTGTCTAATCCCTCTTTGTGCCTTACGGGTGCCTTCACGTTTCGTAACGGTTGCAGTTGACAATTCCAGCTCAATATAGGTTTACTTGACATTTCCGAATATGGTCGATTGTTTATTTTTATTTTAGAGAAGTCAATGTCGAATTTGTCGGAGATGCATTTAGCTTCAAAACCGTCTTGCGAATTTAAAACTTATACTTAAGATATATCATGGTCTACATGGCGTGAATTCGTGATGTTAAATAGACAATGACGTTTTATAAATATGAGTAACTGCTGTTGTGGTTTTGAACTATACATCTGGTTATTGACCACTCCCTCTTTTGCAATGCATGAAGGCATAATACACACTTAAGTGACGTCATAACGTACACGCATAATTAAGCATTAAACTGCCTTCTTTGGAAAGTTATTGTCCTATAATTCTTACAGGATTGCAGATGCTGGTGCGCGTTATAATTAATTTGTCTACAATCCTGTGAGAATTATCGGACAATAACTTTCCAAAGAAGGCAGTTTAATACTTATGTTTCCTTTTTCAATTGAAGTTTTTCTTATATTTCCAACCTGTTTTCGCATTTCAAAGTCAAATTTCCGGCAAAAATATAGTTCGTGGAAATAAACACAAAATCATCAATCTCATTTCAGCAATTAATCAATATATTCCACCGTGGGGATATAAATAGATAAATTGTTGCGAGTGACATTTGTCAATTGTTTTTTTTAATCCGGTAGCACGGATGGGTTACCACGAGGAATGCGTATTGGTATTGATGTGATGATTTGGCCTGTAAACGGAAGGTGAATTTAGCGATTTAAGTTGAAAGTGCAGCCTGAAAATATTGCGTTTGTGAAGAATCCGAGAGTTACCGTGTTTGTGGAATGAAGATTTGATAGCGTTAATGTGTTAGTTTCTGGCCGATAACAATGTTTTCATGACGTCGGTCAAAACGATGTCATTTAGTCACGACGTCACGAACATGTTCTTCATATCACTCCACCCAAGGAAATTATGTGAGAGTTAAGATCTGATATCCTTTGATTTTGTTTGGTAAGGTTATATAGTGGCAATGGAGAGCAAATAAAAAATATGGAACATTATTATGCCTCACAAGCCTTGAAAGAAAACAATCGCTCTCCCTGGTGATTGCCCATGTTTACAAAACAACATGCCGACAAAATATGACAAAAGCGAGTTCCTTTTAGTTTCCTTGTTTGAGCATCATTATACAGTGATTTAATGCGATTTGATTAT